CCGCACAAATGCCTTGTTGGAGAAGCAAAAAAAAAAAGGAAATATACGGACTAACAAAATTCATTTTCTTGTTAAAGTATGTAACCATATAGTAATTGGGAGGTTATTATGGCCTTGTTCTCTTTATGTTTTTTTTTTTTAAATGATCACTAGTATATTAATTTTTTCGGACTTAATCCGATTTTGGTGGTTTAGGTTTGATATATATTTTTAGGTTATGGCGAAGAAAGATCAAAATCTCTTCTTCTTCTTTTGTTTTATGGTAACCAAAATCTCTTGTTTCTAAGAGAGTAGTGCATTATTACTGTTCTAATATTATCCAGTTCTTATACGAAAGATATAAACATTTAAACCAACAAATATTAATGATAGAAAACACTATAACGTGATGTGGCGACGGATCATCATAATTTTTAAACCAATTCTGGGATATTTAACTTTAATAAAATAATTAATTGGAAAAATTATGTGAGGTTAATTCATGTTTCATGATCAAATTTATGATTATATCTTATATAAATGCAACTGTAGGAATATGAGTGTTAAATTAACTAATTACATCGGATGAAGATATATTTTTTTGGTTTAACGGACGTTGTTTGTGGGGTTTGTTGATAATATGTACCCTTTTAAAATATAAAAATATATCATACCTATCGGCAAAAAAAAAATATATCATACCTTAATACGATAAGTGTTAAATTCTTACGATAACCTAATTTTTTCACAAAATTTTGAGCGTTTGGTCCTTTTTAATTGGTCAAAGCGCCTCAAACTCCATTGAATGAGCAAGCATTACGAAATAAATTAAAAGAACAGAATCCACCAAAGAATCTGTTAAAATATTGGCAACACGTGATACATGATGGTAGGCAACTGAAATAAAGCGATGCAAAATGGAACTAATGTCCATGAAATTTATTTTGCATCACCTACGGAGTTTGGAATAAGAACGAGTTCTTGACATTCTGATACACATGCCAGCCGTGATACACCCAAAATTGTGGCTGAGAACAGTCTTCAAAGCAGTGACCTCTGCATTAGGCAGAGGAAACGTAGAGTCAAAAAGGCGATCCTTGATAGATGCGTTCATCTTGCGGTGAATGAGCATGCCAAGCTCTGCTTTACCAACACCCACTTGCTAATGTTGTCGAAAAAGTGTAATTATTTATAGGAAAATCTTATACCCTTCTCTTATAAACTAGAGTTTATTTTGCATATAAGATACTCGATACATTTTAAAAAATTTCAGTTATGTTTTATTATTGTGATTGTTAGAGGGTGAGATCTTAACTTGTATACTATGTGATTGCATAAATTTTCATTCTGTATACCGTTTGTGTGTAATGAGTCAAAAGATAGTAAGGAGATGTGATTATTTCGACATAGAAGAAGGCTCTAATCAATGACGGGATAAAACGATACCTATGAACACAAAACCAAAGTAAAACATTTAATATTGTTAATTCATACCTTTTTTATATTTGGAGATTTTTTTAAAATAATTTAACACTATGTCTTACAATATTTTTTCAAACCATTATTAATTCATATTTTCTAATATTCAAACCATTAATGCATCAGACTCCAAAATTAATTTTAAGCTTTTGGCACTTATATTTGCATTGTTTTCAACAATATAAACTTTAGTACTCTATTTCACAATTGAATCCTTTTTACAAAATATAATTCACACATTTTGAAATTTTTGTTATAGAAGAAAATATTTTGAAACTAATTTAGAAAATTAATAAAAAAAAAGATTTTATAGACAAAACCAGTTTGTGAGCAAAACAAAAAAGAGACAAAAACCATCCAAAATATTAAAAAACGAAAAAACAAAAAAAATTATTATTATATACTCCCTCTAATTCTAAATAATAGATTTTCTAGAAATAAAATTGTTTCAAAAGATATTGTTTTAGCCTTTTAGGTTTTCTATGCAATATTCATTAGTTATTATTGATGAATTATAAACTTCAAGAAAAAATAATTGAATATCATTGGTTTAGAATTATAGAAAATTGTAAATCACAAAAAATGATACATTTCTAATTAATATGGTTTCTTAATATGTGTAAAAACTCTAAAAATCAATTATCTTGATACAGAGGGAGTAGTATTTTGCTGAAATAAAGAGAGTTTAGGGAGGGTGTACTGGAACAAGGATTTTAGAAAATTTTGGGATTTTCTTAAAATTACTTGTTATTCAAATTGTGATTTTAAAATCTCTTTCCAAATCCTATGTTATTCAATCAAATATTTGGAAAAACCATATCAAATCCACTGTTATTCAAACTTAACAAATTTTTTTCTAAAAAATAATGAAAAGTTATTTTGAGAGACTTTAGATACACTTTTAGTTAAGAAATTTGAATGAAAAAGTCACACCTCTACGGGTGGGATTTGGAAGGATTTAAAAGAACAAAATAGTGTTCACACAAAAAACTGAAGAGGTAGATTTACCGACTTACACCGTCATCCCTTACGTTAAGAAAAAAACATTCATATTATCCCTCACTTTCAGAGAAACATGGTTTCAATGGATTCTCCTTTCAATTAGTCTGTTTGTTATTAGAGAGAATTTGGGTTTGCATTATTAAACAAAAAAGTTTTCTTGACCTCAATTAAACATCAGTTTAAAATTTGTGGGGATAAACTGAACCAATTAACTCTGTTTACAAAATCTTTCATTTTCCAACTAATTATAAAATTGAAGACTGCTATCAATCCTGCAAAACAACAACCCTCGAAGGCTTGCCACAACAAATATGCTTTGGCTATACTAACGATCGTTTTGTGACAATGATTGATATCTTAGTTATAAGTTAAGACTGGAGCTAAGACAAATATACTAGCATATTCTCTTAACATAGTTCGTGTTTGTTCCAATTTTTGTTTTGAAATCCAATTTTCCATTTTTTTTTTTAATATAAAAATCTCCTAAAATCACCCCAAATTAATTCTTTAAATCTCACCATATCACAAACTGTTTTTCCTTTTTTTATATTAACAATCCCACTATAAAATCCTTAAAACTCACTAAATCTCTCCAAATCCAAAATTTCCAAAATTTCATTAAATCTCTCCAAATCTTTAGTCCAATACACCCCCCTAGGATAAGATATTTTGTGTAAATGATAAAGGTAAGAAATTTGGTAGTCCAAAGACGTTGTGACACCTGAAAAGCTGACACTCTCTAAAAAAATTTAGGGTTTACATATTTTCTTCTGTATACACATATATATAGCTAAACATATCAAGTTCTATAGCCATCATGGAAAGACACGAACGCAGCCGTCTAAAAAGTTCAACGACTTCTCAGATCCATTGTTGAAGATCGATGAAGCAGAATCCAAAGGCGACAATGGTGGAAATGGTGATCTCATTTTAGTAGCACATGTACAAGAAGAAGGAATCCGATTCAGGCAAGATAGTTTTAATTTTCGATCAAATATCAGATATACACTTGTCTTAAACCATTTACGTTCTATTGATTAGTTGTTAGCTAAATGTAGACCAAGCAAGCAAACAAAAACTAAAAGAATTCTCACATGGTTAGGAAAATGATACAGATTTCAATATAATCGGTTGGTTTTTATTCTTGTTTTATGTGTTTTTTTTATTCTTAAAAGATATGTTATAAATTACTCTGTAGATCTGTGATCAAAGTGGACAGAAACTACAAGCTTTGTCGGGAAAAAGTGACAGAAGTGATACACTGTGTCAACGGTACCTCTTCTTTTGTTTTGTTTTTCTGTTGACTTGAGACTTTTAATTAGCATAACATCGGTCGATATGGTTAGCGAAATTAACAGTACAGATTCGATTTACTCGGTTGATTTTGATTCCTTTATTTTTAATATATGGTTAGCTAAATCACGAGTTTTGTTTGAAACTAACCCGTTGAAGCGGCTTGGAGATCTGCTTGAGCGTAAGGGCCTTTTGACACAAAGGTAATTCCTTGCTATAACTTTTTTGTTTGTTACTGTTTTTTTAGGAAAGGGACAAACATATACACTGATTGTTGTTAATTTGTTGCATGGGTTTAGAATACACAAGAGTTTAAGTCGGGTGAAGTTGGGCGTTAGAAAGAAAGCTTTTGCTATAAAGCTTTCAATCAAACATTAGAAAGAAGAGTCGGGTAATTGGTTCCGTTTATTGTGATCAAACATTGTGCTGTTTGGTTTCTTGCAATACATTTGCTCATATTGTGATCAAACATTCATTTTGTTTTGTTTGTCTTAATTTTTTTAAATAAAGATTTATATCAGATATAGTTGTTTGAAACCATTTAACTTTTATTGATTTCGTTGTTAGACAAAGGAAGCAAAGAAAAGTTAAAAGAATTCACTAGCCCCAATGGATTACGATGTTGATATGGTTAGCCAAATGATGCAGAAATCGATTTGATCCATTAACTTTTGTTCCTGTATATATATATATATATATATATATATATTTCTTAATATATATATATATATATATATTTCTTTTTTTTTTTTTTTTTTGACATCATATATATTTCTTAATATATATATATATATATATTTCTTCGGTGAACATATATATATATATATATATATAACAAAACATATCAGGTTCTATAGTCATCCTAGAAAGACACGAATGTAGCCGCCTAAACTTCTCTGACTCATTGTTGAAGATCGATGAAGCAGATCCGAAGGCGAGAATGGTGGTAATGATGATCTCATTTTACTAGCACATGTACGAGAAGAAGGAATCAATACAGGCAAGACACTATTAATTTTGATCAAATATCTGATAAACCTGTCTCAAAACATTTAACTTTTATTTATTTGTCAGATCTAGACCAAGCAAGCAAACAAAAGCTAAAAGAATTTCCAATGGCTCAAATTGTCGATATGGTTAGCGAAACTAACGGTACAGATTCAATTTAATTGGTTGATTATTATTCCCTTTCTTTGTTTTATATTGTTAGCTGAATCATGTGTTTTGTTTGACACTAACTCGTTGAAGCCGCTTGGAGATCTGCTTGAACGTGAGGGCCTTTTGACACAAAGGTAATTTCTTGCTATAACTTTTTTTATTTTCTTGCTATTTAATTAGGGAAGGGACAAACATATACACAATACACTGATCGTTGTTAATTTGTTGCATGGGTTTAGAATACAGCAAGAGTGTAAGTCAGGTGAATAGTATTGGGCGTTAGAAAGAAATTAGCTTTGTCTGATTGTCATGCTCTTTCAATATAAAAACTTGTTCAGTTTATTGTTATCAAACAATATGAGCTGTTTGGTTTTTTGCAATACATTTGCTCATGTATCTTTATAGATTTGTCTCGAAGATGTGATGAGACTTGAGAGCAATTCATTTGAAGTCCTTTGATTACAGGGTGTTGAATCTTCTACTATACAGGGTACATTCACGTCCCTTTTTTTTCTTCTTAATGTTTAAGTTCTATTTAATTCACTTCTAGAATCTGATACATATAGATTGAAATTGTATTTGATGTACTGTCTTGAACCATTTAACTTTAATTTTATTGATTTAGTTGTTAGACCAAGCAAACAAAAACTAAAAGAATTCTCACATGGTTAGGGAAACGATAGAGATTTCATTATTGTCGGTTGGTTTTTATTCTTGTTTTATATGTTTGTTTATATTTTTTATATTCAATATAATCGGTTGGTTTAATTTCAATATTCTCTTTAGATTTGTGATCAAAGTGGACAAACACTACGAGCTTTGTCGAGAAAACGTGAAAGAAGTAATACACTGTCGACGGTACGTCTTCCTTTTGTTTATTTTTTTTTTGATTTGAGACTATTAATTAGCATAATATCTTTCAAGTTGGTTAGATAGAAATTGATTAGATAAAAGTCTATAATTTTTTTGTTTTGTTTTCCTTTTTGATATGAGACTTATAATTGATTAGATAAAAATTCATGTCTTTCAAATGTTAAATTCATTAGTGATTCACATATGTGAGAACAATCTCAACGTAACTTTATGAATCAATATATAAAAACTCAATACAAATTTATGCCTAAACGGCATATTTATACAAAATCCAAAAACCCTAAAACTATCCTATAACAATGAATGGAATTATGATTCCATGAGAAAGGAATGTGGTTTCGGTCTGTGCTACTGAAACTTCAACTAAACCAGCGACTCACTGCTGAACAAGGGCATTAATGAGACTCATGTTCTATGTGATTAAGCATCAGTCAAGATATATTTTAGTCATTCCCGAATATGAAGATGGTTAAAGTCACTGTGAATTGTATAGCACTCCACCTCTAGGAGCAAAGAACTTCTCCTATCATCCTGTCTACTGCACGAGACGTTAAACTATGAAAGTTGAATCGAAGAAGATGAATTTCAGAAAGTAAACATCCAAACTCTTGAGAAGAACTATACTATATTTAACTCCTTATTATTTCTAGGTTTATGTCCCGATTAGGATATAAATTTCATGAACCGATTAGGAGATGAAAAAGATGCTGATGAAAACTAAGGGGAGGAGTAGTTCTCCGTTGTAGTGACCATTGCATAAGTAGAATAGTTTGGGTAATTTTTCTCTGAGATCTTACGATTCTATATGCGGTAATGTGTGATGTTTCCCGGAATGGAAGATTCTTCAGAGCCAATAATTAAAGGGAGAAGTATCTTTCTCACCGGAAAACATCATACGAGATAAAGGTGCCTTGTATCTACATCGAATATCCAAGGTGAACAAACCCGGTACAAGAACTAGAGTAACTATCGGGGAAGTGTGTTTCAAAACCATATTAGGAGTGAGAAAACGGGTCTCAAAACCACAGTTGGAAGGAATATTAAAACTTTGACAGAAGCATGCGGGCGGATCAAGTGTTACGGATTCCACGGTCGACTGCTATGAACAAATTCTCTGCTAGAGTCCCTAAAGTTTGGAATTTCGAATTAGTATTTACTATTTCTTTAGCTTACATTGCATCTTAGAAGGTTAGCTGAAGAAGCTTCGTTCGAAAAGTTGGCTCGGAAGTGAAGAGGTTGAGTCTTTCTAGCTAGCCCCATGCCATGAGTTTATCAAGTTCAGCGAATATCAAATGGATAGACTAGATTTGGATTATCAAATGACAATGAGACATTATCATTATCCTCATCAACATCTTCAACCTCATAAAAAGTTTCAGAATAAAAAAAACTTTAGTCTCTTGAGGGTTGGGATAAATACGATCACAAAACAAGGTTCCAAATAGTTCCAGTTCAAATTAATTAGTACTAACTCTTCGAGCACAAGACATCCATATAGAAGCTTGTTAAACGTTTGTACAAAATCTCGACTTTGATGACTCTTTATATTTCCATCCTCCAATGACTTACAAAGAGAGGAGAAAGAGTTCTGAAAATTTTTATGCGTTCTGAAAATATCTTGGCTTTGAATGCAAAAGCTCAAGCTCCATTGAACAGATTCCACGTTAAACGTGAAGATGTTGTTGATCAATATTGGGTGTTTAAATGGATATCCAAAGTGTTGAAACGTGGTGCGTTAGATTTTGATGTTCGCATTAGAAGATGGAAATAGAAAGAGTCATCAAAGTCAAGATTTGGTATAAAAGTTTAACAAGCTTCTATCTAGATGTCATGGGTTCGAAGAGTTAGATTAATTTGAAGTGGAACTAGAACTATTTGGAACCTCAACCATGTTCTGTGATCGTGTTTATTCCAAGCCTCAAGAGGCTGAAGTTTTTTCGTTCTGAAACTATTTATGAGGTTGAAGATGTTGATGAGGCTAATGAGAATGTGTCATTGTCATTTGGTCCACCTAGAATATTCTGATAGTAGGCTGATAAGTATCATCATGTGAGTTTTGATTCGCTTGTTGAAGCTAATCTCGGACTTTGAATGACACCTGATCAGATCATACATGTAACATGTTCAAAAGGACTTACTTTGGAACCCAAAGACAAGAATAGTTTGAAAAACCTTCTCATGGGAATATGCAATATTAAGATCCTCTACTTGTCTTGTGACACTCTTAAGGTCAGTCCCATCTTTTTTGATGAAAGTTGACAATTGACAACTAGTTAGTGATGATATAGTTAACTTGGTTTTTGTTTCAGGAACTTAATGACTACAGTGAAACAATACCGGTATTCAACAACCTGGTGCAGTTAACTATTGTACCATGTGTAGAGTACGAATCACTGCGAGCTCTACTCAAGAATTGTCCAAATCTAGAAACCCTCGTCTTCGAAGTAGCATACACATTCTTCACATTAACAACTAACATGCTTTTACACAAAAATAATTTTTGAAACGGTCTCTTTTTATGTTTTAGGGACTGCATCATGAATCTACTAAAAGATGTGATGACGAGGATAAGTGCTTGTGTGAATATACGGATGACTGTGGAGGAGAAGAGCGAGCAGGTCAAGCACTTCCTAAAGATCATGTCGAATCTTGAACAAATGATATTGTGCTACGATACACCAAATGATCTGATGATACCATTAGAAGTTACTTTTATTCGCCCATGAATTTAAAACTCATTCTTAAACTCATGAAAAGCCTCATTTAGTCTGGATGAAACAAGTGTTTTTAGGAGAAACAAATGTTTTTGCAAAACTTGAAACATAGAAAATGAAACAAACGTGGAAAAATCATCTCATTTTCAGATTAAATGAAAAAGTTTTAATGTCTGTGAAGTCAAGTAATCAAGTTGTGATTGTAAATTAGTGTTACAAGTCACTCCATATATAAAACATAAAGCTCCAACGACTTAATGAGGGCAACTACGAGAAAAACACAAGTATCGTGGAACTTAGTTAGTTCTTTTACTTCAGACGGGACACCATGTGGTTAGGACGCCGCTCAAATGCTTTTTTGGAGAAGCACACAAAGAAAAGGACAAGCACTAACATATATTTGCCTAACGACAACATTTCGTTGAAGAAGCTGAATGAGGTGATGGAGCAAGTTCAGGAGGGCCGTTAAAAAGAAGGACAAGCACTAACATATGACAATAAATTTTGAAATTATTGTGATGTTTGTGACATGTAAAAATTGTATATTTATTTAGTTCATACAATACGTTAATATTGTTATCCTATCAAGAACCCATAACATTCACTAATATATTCACATGCATTCTTGTGATGAATAAAACCATACTACCATTTTTTAGTTTTTATGCTAATAGTTGGTTTTTGTTATTAAAAAAAAACGACAGTATTTGTTTACATTTTAACACAATTGTTAGACTATTGTGATCATGTTACAAAAAGAAAAAAGATGGACTAAATAGAAGATGATCATTAAAAGGGAAGGAAATATACAGTTAAGACAGTCAATTCATTTGCTCCACATTATGAATTTAAGGTAATTAAGTCATCGGGTCCATTCACTATGTTTAAATATATGTATACATACCAAGTATATGAAGATTTTTAGCAAAAAAATGCAGATATATATATATATATATATATATATATTAATATTTGTTCGTATTACTAAAAGCAGAGTTTATGAAGATACATCTTGTAACGCCCCGACCGTCCCTACCAGTGGGCCCCACGTCCTCTCTCGGGCCCATGGGCTCTACATCTGTCTGACGGCCGGTGTGTTACGTCTAAGAGGCTTTAAAGACTTGTTTACCGACCCTACAAATTACCAAATGATCTTTCCATGTGCTTTGTCCTCACTCACAAAGTTTCGACAATTACTTCCCGGAAGGTCACCCATCCTGAAATTGCTCCAGCTCAAGCATGCTTAACTGTGAAGTTCTCTCAGGACTGTTGACCAAAAAGATAAGTGCACTTTGGTGACATAGGTGGTCAAATCAATTCTCTTAAACCTCTTTGCATGCACCACCATATCTCTGAAATTGGGGTGTTACAATTCACCCCCACTAAGAGATTGTTACGTCCTCGTTGCGCACCAAGACCGTCCCTCCCCCCCCCCCTCCCCCGACGGTGTGAGCCCTTTTGACTCCACACTCGCCTGGATTCGGCTCTGATACCACTTATAACGCCCCGACCGCCCTACTAGTGAACACCTACGTCCTTTCTAGGGCCCGTGGGCCCCATTTCTGTCCGACGGTCGGTGCGCTACGTCCGAGAGGCTTGAAAGACTTGTTTACCGACCTTACAATTCACCACATGATCTTTTCATTTGTTTCGTCCTCACTCACACAGTTCCGACAATCACTTTCCGGAAGGTCACCCATCCTGAAATTGCTTCAGCTCAAGCACGCTTAACTGTGGAGTTCTCTCAGGACGTTTGACCGAAAAGATAAGTGCACTTTGGTAACATAGGTGGCCAAATCAATTCTTTTAAACCCCTCCGCATGCACCACCATATTCCTGAAATCAGAGTGTTACAAAAATAGCCCCCCAAAAGGTTTGTTTTTCCAAAAGTAGCACAACAGTTCTAAAATTCCATAAATAGCACCTTAAACTTTAATTAAAATAGAAAATAAGAGCAAACACTAAAGTAATATTAACTTAAATCAAAATTTCTTTTAAATGGTGGAAATATGTACCCTAAATTGGAAATAGGGAACCCAAACAAACACTACAAGAATATTGACTTTTAATAGCATTATAAGATAGCGTTTGTGAGCATAATGCTATCGTTACTTAACGAGAGATTTTAAGATAGCGTTTATGAATAAGTATATGCTATCATATACAAAGCGTTTTAAAAATCCAATTTTCGCATAACGTTTTAATACCATAAACATTTCTTAACGTTATAATAGGCTAAAATTTTTGCCGCTGACACTTAGAAAATTTTGGGCTAAAAATTTGTTTGCCTCCAAACCAAAATCCCCAATTCACACTTAGAAAACCTAAAACCCTTTTTGCCTCCATTTTGCTCGACATTCACATCGAAACAAATCTCAGTCTCTGTCTGAAGCTCTCACACACAAATCTCTATCTCATTAGTTCGTCTTCTTCTCATTCTATCGATTTCAGTCTCGATTCTTTGTGTATCTCAGTCTCGCGAAGGAGCACAGCAAATCTATCTAGCTCGAACCCACAAATCTCTCTCGAACCCACAAATCTTCAGTATCTCAAACCCAGAAATCTTCAGTCTCTAGAACCCAGAAAACCTAAATCCAGCTTCCCCTTTAACTCGATTTTCACTTTCCAAGTCTTGGAAACAAAATCCCTACTGAATCGAGTTTATGCAAAGGTAAAATCGGGTCTTTCTTTTTAACAATAAACCAGATACAGCTTTTATGTTTGATTTTTAGTAATTTAGGGTTCTAGCTTGCATGTTGTTTTGATGTGTTTCGATTGGGTTTACTATTTTGCAGGAAGGTTTTGTTTAATTCAAGTTCTTCTAGTGTCAAGGTATGATGTCTTCTATGTGTTTCTCCTTTGAATATGTCTTTATCTTAAATGTTTCATTCAGATTTCTCGATTTATACTGTTGTGTTTCCTTCTGTAGCTCAAGTTAAGCAAAAGAGAATAACATCTAGCAGGTACCTCACTCACACTTGATTCTTTAGCAGTTCTCTACTGTTGTTGTGGCTTACTTCTACTATTCCTAATAACCTTGTATGCACATTTGGTCGGAGCTACTTTAACATGGATAAAGCTTGGGTCTGGTTACCAAGGTATTCACCTAAAAGTTATTACACATCTTCTTTGATTTCATTTAATGATTAGGGGACTGTGAGTTTTCTAATAACATTGTTTGTTACTTACAAGAATTGTGTTGAGTATGAGGAAGGAGCAACTAAGTTTGTGTTTGATTCATCAAAAAGATTGGGTAATGTATCACATATGTGGTGTCCCTGCCTTGATTGCCGCAATGTTGTTCATCAGTCAACCCAGACAGTCTTTGATCATCTGGTGATTAGAGGGATGGATGAGAAGTACAAAAAGAACAACTGTTGGAGTAAACACGGTGATATATGGGATGCTAACAGAACAGATGTTTATACTTCTGAAAATGAGGCTTATGATTTGATTAGGACAGCTTTTATAGAAACTGAAGGCAAGTACCATCTCAGAATCAGAATGCAGACGAGTTTGATGATATTGATAATCAAGTAGAAGATGAGTTTAGGAAGAAGTTAGAGGATGCAAAAACTCCATTGTACCAGAATTGTTTGAGCTACACAAAGGTTTCTGCAATCATGGGACTTTACCGGATAAAGGTCAAGAGTGGTATGTCAGAAAACTTTTTTGATCAGCTTCTAACCCTAGTTCATGACATGTTACCTGAAGACAATGTGCTGCCTAAGTCTACAGATGAGATGAAGAGATTTTTGAAGATATTTGGTTTTGGTTATGATTCTATTCATGCCTGCAAGAATGATTGCATCCTTTATCGCAATGAGTATGAGGATTTGGTGACCTGCCCAAGATGTAGTGAATCAAGATGGGAAAAAGACAAGCACACTGGTGAGGATAAGAAAGGGATTCCAGCAAAAGTGCTAAGGTATTTTCCTATAAAAGACAGATTTAGGAGGATGTTTAGGTCACCAAGGTTGGATGAGGCTTTGTGTTAGCACTCCACTAATGCTACTGAAGATGGTACAATGCGGCATCCAGTTGATTCATTGACTTGGGGTCAGACTAATGATAAATTTCCAGAGTTTGCTGCAGATGCTAGAAACCTTAGGCTAGGTCTGTCTACTGATGGGATGAATCCATTCTCTATCCAGAACACCAAGTACAGCACATGGTCGGTGCTCTTAGTCAATTACAACATGGCTCCAACTGAGTGTATGAAAGCTGAGAACATGATGTTAACGATGTTAATACCTGGACCAACAGCCCCAAGCAACAACATTGATGTGTATCTACAGCCCTTGATAGATGACCTAAAGGACTTATGGAATGAAGGTATTGAAGTTTTTGACTCGTTTAAGAAGGAAAGTTTCACTCTAAAAGCTATGTTGATGTGGACCATCACTAACTATCCAGCTTTAGGTACATTAGCTGGATGTAAAGTAAAGGGAAAGCAAGCTTGTAATGTATGTGGGAAGGATACACCTCATAGGTGGTTAAAATTTAGTCGCAAGCATGTATATATGGGCAATAGGAAAAGATTGAGACATGATCATCCTTACAGACGCAGAAAAGGCTGGTTTGACAATACAATTGAGCTTGGTACTGCAAAGAGAATTCATAGTGGAGCAGAAATCTCTGAGAGTCTTAAAGACTTTATCAATGTATTTGGTAAACCTTTAGGCAAGAAAAAGAAAAGAAAAAGGAATGACAACCAAGAAGATGATGCTATTTCAGAGTATGAAGAAGATGATGATCAATGGAGATGGAAAAAAAGATCAATCTTGTGGGAATTACCTTATTGGAAGGTTAGTACTTATATCATTAACAGTTTCTTAATTGTTTAATTTTACAATTAATTATGTTATTATGTTTCTGATAGCTACTTTTATTTCATGTGGTAGGATATGCCTGTGAGACATAATATAGACGTCATGCACGTCGAAAAGAATGTCTCTGATGCATTACTATCACTTCTGATGCATAGTGTGAAATCCAAGGATGGCTTGAAAGCAAGAAAAGACTTAGAAGACATTGGGATTAGAAGCAACTTACATGCACAGATACGTGGGAAGAGAACTTACTTACCTCCAGCTGCATATTGGTTATCAAAAGAAGAAAAACGTATATTCTGCAGAAGGTTAGCTAAATTCAGAGGCCCTAATGGTTACTGTGCCAATGTCTCCAATTGTGTGTCTGTAGATCCTCCCAATATTGGTAGTGTGAAGTCACATGACCATCATGTGCTCTTACAGAATCTGTTACCAGTGGCATTGAGAGGTTTACTGCCTAAAGGACCTCGTATTGCATTGAACCATATCTGCAATTTCTTTACTAGGCTGTGCCAACGCGTAATTGATCCAGAGAATTTAGTTGCCTTAGAATCAGAGATTGTTGAAACAATGTGTCAGTTGGAGAGATACTTCCCACCATCCCTTTTTGACATTATGTTTCACTTGCCTTTGCATTTAGCAAGAGAAACACGCTTAGGTGGTCCTGTCCACTTCAGATGGATGTATCCATTTGAGAGGTGAACTTTTTTACTTGAAGTCATATAAAGTTATCTTATTAGCTGATAGAATATGTTTAGATTACTAATAACTCATCTTTGTATTAACATGTAGGTATATGAAAACACTTAAAGCATATGTGAAGAATTTTGCAAGACTAGAAGCTTGTATGGCTGAGGGCTACTTGGCTGGTGAATGCATCTCATTTTGTTTGGAGTTTCTCTAGAAATCTGTGCCAGTTCAAGAAAGACTGAATCGCAATGAGGATGTGGAAGCAGATC